TTTTTGCGCCTATCCTGCGAAGGCGTTGCTGCGGTTTTTCGCTGCGCTCTTCGCGTGTCGTCAGGTGGTCCTTGCTTCCTCTTTGGAATCCGTTTGGGCCCTGGTTCTTAGATTGTCTTCTCCCTTTTGTCCTCTGCTTTTTGAGGCTTCTGCGGTAGAACGTTATATTCAGGCGGCTTCTTTCTCTTGCCGCCCTATGTCTGAGTTGTTGGTTCTCCGGGGGACCCATTGGGTTCCTTCCCGGCAGGGTCATACCAGGGCGCGCGGTTCCATTCGTCGGAGTGGGCCGCAGGTGTCGGGTTCAGTGCCGGTGCCGCCCGCGGTCCCACCTGTGCTTGGTCGGCGCGGTGTTCGCTCTGCGCGCAGGTCAGGTTCTTGTAAGGGGCAGCGGCCCTTTCGCGGTTCGCCCCATTGATGGGGCATTGGGGGGAAGGCTGTCTCTGTTCGCTCACGCCTGGTCTCACGATTCGTGGGCTTTTCGGGTCGTTTCTTGTGGCCTGAGGTGGCGTTGGGTGGCTCCGCCTCCTGCTGGGGGTTCGGGGCTGATGGGGCAGGCTTCCTCTCCTGCGCTCCGTCAGGTCATCTTGGAGTGGGTGCGCTTGGGCGTGGTCGAAACGACTCCGTCCCTCAGGTGGGTTTCCCGCCTGTTTCCAGTTCCGAAACGGGACTGTACGGACCTGCGGTTCATTCTGGACTTGTCCCGTCTGAACCCTTGGGTTTCTTGCCCCTCGTTTCGGATGACCACTCTGTTCCAGGTCCAGCTTCTGTTGAAGCCTTGGATGGTGTCCCTGGACCTCAAGGACGCATATTGGCACGTCCCTGTTCATGTGGGGTTCCGGGACTGGCTCGGTTTTGTTGTAGGGCGTCAATGCTACCGCTTTTGTTGATTCCCCTTCAAGTTGAACCTGGCACCTCACGTGTTCACACGCCTTACCCGGGTCGTGGTGGCCCATCTGCGTCTCTTAGGTGTTAGCTTACCTCGACGACTGGCTGGCTTGGGCTCCCAGTCGGTCCACGTGTCTGCTTGCCAGGGATTTGGTGTGTTCCCAGCTCGCTGGGTTCGGGTTCCTAGTGAATTGGCTGAAGTCCCATCTGGTGCCCTCCCAGGTTCGGTCCTGGCTGGGTCTTGTGTGGGACTCTCGGACCGCTTCCTTGTCTCTTCCTCCGGAGTCTCTCCTTCGGCTGCGGTCTCGCCTGGGTCTGTTTCTGGGGGCTCCTGGGTCACCCTGCGGTTGCACGAGAGTTTGTGTGGCAGCCTGAACTTCACGATGTTGGTCTACCCGCTGGGTCGGGTTTGGCTTCGTCAGCTGTTCTGGTTCCTTCGGGGACATCCCTTCCGCCTCTCTCGCGATTGCTGGGTTCGACCCCCAGGGGCTTTGTGTCGGCTGCTGCGTCGCCGGCTTCCTCTTCGGATTTTTCGGGGTTCAGTGCCTTGGCGCCTACCTGAGCCCTCGCTCGATGTGTTCACGGACTCGTCGTCTTTAGGCTGGGGTTTTGTGACCAGTGCTTACCAGGCCGGTCAGGGATGGTGGGGTCCGTCCTTCCGTCGGGTCCACAGCACGGTGCGGGAGTTCGCGGCGGTATGGTTTGCGCTTCAGAGGATTCGGGTCGCCCGCGGATCGACGATCCGGCTCCATTCGGACTGCTCCCAGGTGGTTCATTGTCTGAACCGAGGGGGTTCGATGCGGTCCTTGGCTCTTTGGGGTTGGTCGCTTCGGGTGAATCATCTGCTGAGTTCTCGGAGTTTGACTCTCCTGGTGGTTCACGTCCGGGGGTGTCCAACGTCCTGCCGGACGGCCTGTCCAGGTTCGTTTCCCGTGTCCACAGAATGGACGGTCGATGCCGGCTCTTTCCGTTGGCTCTGCCGGACGTTCGGGCGCCCGGAGGTGGATCTCTTCGCGTCGGCGTGATCGAGGCGTCTTCCGGTTTACGTGGCGCCCTTCCCCGACTGCGAGGCCGTCGGGATCAACGCCTTTCGGCAGGACTGGTCGAGGTGTGGGTTCCTGTACCTCTTTCCCCCGGTTCAGCTGCTGCTCCGGGTCTTGGCTCGCTTGGAGACTTACCAGGGTCGTGTGGTCCTCTTGGCCCCTTGGTGGACGGCCGTGCCGTGGTTCAAGCACTTGCTCGGTGTCTGAACCCGGAGGTTTTTCCGCGGCTCCGCCTCTTTCAGGAGATTGGGCCGGTCCGGTACGTGACTGGTTCACTCTTCTCCGCGAGTCTTCGCGTTTGGTGTTTTCGACTCGTGTTTATCACCACCTGTATTGTGAGCAGGTGGCGTCCTTGTTGGTTTCTCACCTGCGAGTTTCCTCTCGGCGGCAGTATGAAGTTTCCTGGCGGTCCTTCCGGTTCTTTTTGACCCTTAGTCGTTGTTCCTCGCTTTCGGTTCGGGTGGTGTTGTCCTTTCTCTCTTGGTTGTTTCAGGACCGTCATCTGATGCCTAATACTGTCGCCTCGTATCGTGCGGCGCAGTGGAGTTGTTTCACCTCCGGCCTGCTCATGCGCCGCCTGAGCCGTCCTGGTCCTTGCACAGAGTGCTCTTCTATCTTTCCACTCCTCGGTTTGTTGTGGCCCCTTCAGTTCAAGATTGCTTTGCTAAGGCTCTTTTTCTGTTGGCTTTAGCCTCTGGGGGTTGCGTGGCGGAGCTTCATGCTCTTCTCTGGCGCAGAGGTTTTTGCTCCTTTGGTCGTGGTCTTCGGTTTGTTCGTTTGCAGCCGTCTCCCTCTTTTCTGGCAAAGAATGAGACTGCTGCTTTCCGGAGGGGTCCTTGGGTTGTTGATGCGTGGTTTGTCAGGCCAGGGGTTCACCATGTGTTGTGTCCGGTTGCAGCCCTCCGCCGTTATCTGCACGCCACAGCTTTTGTGTCCGGGGACGCGCTTTGGGTTGATCCGGTTTTCCTTCTTCCCTGTTCGCGGGTTCGGGTCTCTCAGGTAGTCCGCAGGGTTATTAAATCCAGCCAGCCTGCGGTCAATCCCCGTGCCCATGACGTTCGTAAGTTTGCTGCTCTTGCTGCTGTCTTCGGCAATATGTCTTGGGCTGACATTCGGGCACGGGGATTTTGGTGGTCGAACAGGGTATTGGCTGCATGCTACCTTGTTAACGTTCCTGGGCCCGGTCGAGCCTGTGTTGCCTTAGGTCGGTGGTTGCAGCCCGTTGTCTCGGCTTCGTCTTGAGGTGTGGAGCACCGACCGCCTCCCGGGTAAGTGCCCTTGGTTCTTGGTAGTTTTTGGTGAGGTAGCTCCGGGGAGCCGCAGGGGCTCCCCCCAGAAAACCAGCTTTGAATGTAATGAAACGCCATTTTCTGGGTGAGTCCCGGAGGCTCCCCGGCATACCTCCCGCCCTCCGGTCGGCGGTTTTTCGCGGTTTTTGATATCCAGCCTTAGAACTGGGGTTTGGATCGCCGGCTCGGGGGTCTGGGGCTCCCCCTTCCCCCTCCCGGGGAGGGGGGAGCTGCGCAGACATGCGGCGCGGCTCGTGTGACGTCATGCTGGTTTGCTCGTTTTTCTTTTGGGGAGTTCTGTTCACTCGTTTGTCAATTTTTGTTGTTAACCAGAATAGGGGCTTGTTTTGGGGTGCTTACCTTTCTGCGTGCCTGTCCCGGTCGATGGCAGATATAAAATGCTCCAAATCACATGTGCATTCTATGGGCCATTGCTCCCCGTGCCTCTGTGAGGGGGGCCAGGTTCTGGCTCGTGGTCCCCGGTAGGCTAGAACTCCACCCACATTGACTGATGCAAAATAGTTAGGATATCCGTATCAGCCATGGATAGCTCCGGGGAGCCGCAGGGGCTCCCCCCAGAAAAGTGTTTTTCTATCTTATTGACACAAGCATGCTGAACAGCTACAATATGTATCTGGTGAAAACTGGATGTAAACCAAATTTCCGTTCATTTGGTTTTACACTTATGACACAGTTATTAAAAAAGTTTGGCAAAGATGTTCCTGGCATACAAAGACCCATCATGAACCCAGTATTGCAGCATGCTGCTACACCCAGGCTCACGTACATGGAGGCCTTTCAAGCACACAGACTAAAACATTTGCCACCAGCTGGAAAGCGTGCAATAGGCCAACATGATTGCTTTGTTTGTAGAACAACAAAACAGAGAGATCAGAAACGTAAACTGGTGCAAATATGGTGTGAAGTGTGTGCAATCCCATTATGTGCTGTCAACTGCTTCAACGACTACCACTCTTCTGAATGTGCAATAATAGTGCAAAAACCTTTAAATAGTGCATGGATGTGTGTAAATATAATAATGAACAATGTGAATACATATTATATTGGCATAATGGAAAACATTTGTGTGCTCTTGTGTATACTCAATGTATGCAACTTTTATTATCATTGAACATGAAGTAACATTATACGCAACACAATTAGTGAATAAAAATTGTGATAAAATACACAAAGACACTGTAAATAATACTGCGAAAATAAATTTGTGGCAACTCTGGCTGCTTGAAGACCGAGCGCGACGCCTCCTTTACTCACCTTGCATGAGCGAGCATGCAGGGTGTGATATTGTCGCTCATCTTGTTGGCTCATTTACATCATTGGTAAGTACAATTAATTTTTTGTTTATTTTCTTGTGGTCAGGGAACACAAATTAACAGGTTAGGAAGAAATTTTTTTTTATTTTTGTTGTTGTTGTGTCTATGGGTGACAAAGGCTAATTAGCAACACAAGGGTTAAATAACTGGGCGATAATGAACAAAATTAAATGTAACAAAAACAAAGGTAAATCATTTGTAACCTTTAGTCGAGGATGTATGAAGTCTAATACCAAGTCAGATAACTTTATTCCTAGACCGTTTTGCATCAAAACTTGACTTTGACTTACTTGTGGTTAACTTGAATGCTTCCATAAAGCTCATATCATAAGCATGCACAAACAGATTTAAAAGCAAATAAGGTTCACAATAATCTATAACCTTGCAATATCCCCAAAAATCTTAACAGGATTAACATTTTTCTGTGAAAGTTGAATAAATGAACTTACCTCCAGTAATTTTGACTTGGAGAAAACTGATGAGCATAGTAGGCATCTCCACTGCTGTGTACCCGAATGAGCTTTGAGATGTTTGCGAAGATTATGCCTCATTTTAAAACTTTGGCCACAATCTGAACACTTGTGCGGCCTTTCAGAAGAATGTCGTTTGTTATGGCGGTTCAATTCACTCTTGCATGTAAATGATTTTCCACATTCTCCACAGACAAATGGTTTTTCTCCTGAAATTATACAAAGCTAAAACATAAATACTGTAAAGTTAACTTTGGTCGGTGAACATAATTTATAATGAACACAATGATTTTTTATTTCCATAAAAAACCTGTATTGAATGTAATGAAACGTCATTTTCTGGGCGAGTCCCCGGAGGCTCCCCGCAGCTATCCAGGCTGAATGGATATGTATAACTTTCTAGCATCAGTCTATGTGCATGGAGTTCTTGCCTACTGGGGTCCACGAGCCAGAACCTGGCCCCCTCAGAGAGGCTCAACGAGCAATGGCCTATAGAAACCATCATGTGGTTACGAGCATTATATGTCTGCCATCAACCGGGTCTGATACCCAGAAAGGCAGACGTCCCAAAACAAACCCCTATTCTGGTGAAACTATTGCTACCAAAAGCCAAATGAGTGGACAGAACTCCCCAAATGAAAATTGGCAAATGAGCATGACGTCATTACATTGCCGCGCAGCTGAAGGCAGAACCCCTTCCCCCTCCCTCCCTGGGAGAGGGAAGGAGGAGCCCCAGACCCTCATGCCGGTGATCCAACCAGCAGTTCTTAGGCTGGATGTCAAAAACAAGCGAAAACATCGGCAACCGGAGGGAGGGAAGGATGCTGGGGAGCCTCCGGGACTCACCCAGAAAATGGCATTTCATTACATTACGCACTGTTTTTTTTGGGGCAGCCCTGCCGGCTCCCCAGAGCTACTTCACCAAAGATAAGGATAAGAGGGAAGGACCCGGGAGATAGACGCCACGTGCCCTAACCCAAAAAAAGACAACAGGCCAAACCAAAGGATCCTGCAGACAACCCGGGAGACCCAAACCCCGGAACAGGAAGGAAGGAAGGAAACCCGGGTAAACCAAAGTGCGCCCATGGCCACAGAGGCCAAGATGCGCAGAGAACAGCGAAAAGCCGCAACTGAACACAACACACGATGCACCCACTGTCTTCTCAGAAGACAGAAGAAAAAGAGGTGATATGATCACTATATACAAAATAGTAACAGGAATTGATAAAATCGATAGGGAAGATTTCCTGAGACCTGGAACTTTAAGAACAAGAGGTCATAGATATAAACTAGCTAAACACAGATGCCGAAGAAATATAAGAAAATTCACTTTCGCAAACAGAGTGGTAGACGGCTAGATCAAGTTAGGGGAGAAGGTGGTGGAGGCCAAGACCATCAGTAGTTTCAAAGCATTATATGACAAAAAGTGCTGGGAAGACGGGATACCACGAGCGTAGCTCTCATCCTGTAACTACACTTAGGTAATTACAGTTAGGTAATTACCCCCAGCCCAACCAACCAAGCATCAACAACCCAATGACCCCTCTGGAAAGATCAAAAGTTTGACAGCTTGCGGAACGGAGCAGAAGTAGCACCAACACCGAACGCATATATTCATATATTCGACAGTATTCAGCATAAGATGATGGTCCTGGAGAAACCACGAAAGGAAGGACAAGACAATCCTAACAGAGACCAAAGTACACCTACGCAGGAAAGGAAAACTGGAAGGACCCCCAGGAACTTCATACTGCCGCCGAAGACGAAGCACGCATGTGGGAGACCAACAACGAAGCCAGCTGCACCCATACACGGGACGAAAAACTCGACTCAGAAACTCCAGACGCGAAGACTCGAGGAGAAAAACGAACCAGCCTCGTACCGGGCTGAATCAATCTGCTGAAAGAGGCGGAGCCGCGGGAAGACCCTCAGAACCAGTCTCCATGGTGCAGTGGTAAGACACTCGCCTGGCGTTCCGCAAGCGCTTTGTCATGGGTTCGTATCCTGGCCGAGGAGGATTTACTGGGCACAAATTCTTAACTGTAGCCTTTGTTTAACTCAACAGTAAAATGAGTACTTGTTTGTAAAAACAATTCTTCGCGGCGGGGATCGTATTCCAGGGACTTGCTCGAAACGCTACTCGTACTAGTGGCTGTACAAGAATGTAGCAACTCTTGTATATATCATAAAAAAAAAAAAAAAAAAAAAAAGGTTCAGACACCGAGTAAGCAGCGCCTGACACCAAGGCTGGGCCCGGCCATCAACTCTCCATCAACATCAAGGACAACTCTCCCCTGGTAAGTCTAACCGAGCCAGGACCTAGAGCAACAGCTGAACTGAGGGAAATAGGTACAGGTAACCCCACCTCAATCAGTCAAGTCTGAAGGCATTGTTATGATCTCAGCCTGCAGGAGAAACGAGTCTCCCCTTGAGAGTTATTCTATCAGGCCTAACCTAACTAAGAGGTCAAAGAGATATAGACCAGGACTTAGATTCACAAAGCTCCATGTATTTCTTCGTAAGTAGGTTTGCTACGAAGGTTCCTAAGTATGCCCTAAGAAGATGCTTAGGTGCAATTCACGTACGTCCACTTAGGAAGAAATTTGTTGGTTCAACTGCGTGCCAATAGAAGTTACTACTGTGTTTCGTTTGGCCAATCAGAGAGCAGCAACATTCTTCATATTGAAGATTTAGCGTTGGCTTATCGGAGCTCTACTGCCTCCTATTTACGTTGAATTTTCTTATAAAATTAGTATATTTCAAAATAAAACAATGTTTTTTCAACTTCTACAGCCAGCACCGACATTGTAGTAAAGAAATACGTTACATTTGTTGCTTACCTACGTAATTCTAAGAGATACTGTGTAGCTGTCCTTGTTGCTCGGAAGATGCACTGACAATTATTGTATATATTTACTGAATTTACCAAAGGGCCACTAACTATCTAGTGGCCTCGACGAGGACAGAAAGCCGGCGGCTTGTCAATTGCCTTAATGATATTTTTTAGCTGGAATTTGGCATTTACAGCTTCAGCGGGTAGGCGGTTCCATGGGTTTATAGCCCTCTTGGTGGAAAAAAACATCTGTTTTCAGTCCTACTTGAGAGAACATACTCTCCAACACTATATCTGTGATTGCCCTGTTATCAGTGACTTCATACCAAGTGGTATAGGGTACTTTGAGCTCTGCAATTACTTCATACACTCAGGAATATTGGAAGATATTCTTGTGCTACACCCAGATTTTGCCAGTGGAGGCTAATAGATCAGCCTTAAGTATTTTGTTCTCTCCTGATTCCATGTATGACTGGCCATCCTGTGAGGTGAGGATGTTGAATGAGCTTGTAGCTGGTTTTTGATCTACACTGTGTGGTCCTTCATACAGAATAGGGAAGCAGCACATTGCTGTGTATACCTAAACATGTTAAAAAATACATTGTTTGAGAGGAGTCTTATAGAAACTGGTAAGAGTAATTATAATATAATGTTTCCATGATTCAGTGCTTACCTCTAGTAAAAATCGTGAAGAGTTGTTTAGTCAGAGTTGATTTGTTTTTTGTATTGAGGCTGGTATTCTCTACCTTGATTCCATGTATGTCTAACCATCCTGTGAGATGGGAGTTTAGATAAACTTATAGCTAGTATTTTATCTACACTGTGTAATATTCCATATAGAATAGGGTAGCAGCACATTGCTGTGTATACCTAATCTTTTTAATAAAAAAAATCAGTAATAAAGATTTTAAATTATAGTTTGTATTATTACAAATACAGTACTGTATTATCCTTATTAAATCATGTTAACCATGGATCATTAAGATCTCATGTTGATATGTAATAGTCATATTTCTTTTGAACTGCTAATCCATGCTAATCATTTTTTAATCATTCATTAAATTGTGCATTATGTCTCAATTTTTCACTTCCTTGGATATACTGTACAGTACAAAAGATAGGATAAAAATAAACCAGTAATATTTCTTTCATTATATTTTTTTATTTAAATAACTGCATCAATATTTTTACAGCTGACAGGATTTGTTTTACCATACAGGTGCATTATTTGTTAAAAAACCAGCGTTGCATTGTAATGAAACGCTATTTTCTGGGTGAGCCCCGGAGGCTCCCTGGAGCTTATCGGGCTAATGTATGTTATATTAGACCAGGACATTAGCTAAGGAGTTCAGACCTACCAGGGACCAGCGCAGAACCTGGCCCCTTCAGAAAGGTTTTCATTTGCCTGGTGGGGATCTGCCTAGTGTGGCTATAGTTCCACTGGTAGTGTTTGGTGCACCTCTGTTAGGCATACGTGATTGTACACATCGCAGGGGTATTTAGTGTTGCATCTACCCCTTGTCTGCTTTGGTGTTAACCGGTTAGCAACTCCTTGCCCGGGCTTCGCGTAGTAGTCAGTCTACGGGCCCTGGAAAACCCTGTCAGGGCTCAGTGGACCATTGGATGTGTCTTTCGGGTTCCATCCCGTCTTGTGCAGATTCGTTGGTTGCTGTGCCCTTGTCTCAGGGTGACGGTCACCACTTTTTCCATCGTCATGCTGCCTCTTAGGGCACTGACACCTTGACCCAGAGTCTTGTGAGAGGTGTTCTCTGCTTGCTCGCCAGTACTCTTCTGATGTCTTTACTATTCAGAGTACAGGCGGCATCCGTGTTGCAAGCTAGGTTTAGGTTGCTGCAACGCGCTAGGTTGGTTTTCCACCCAGATGCCCCGGAGCCGCCCCGTTTTGGGTCCTGTTGTTCTCCCCTTTCCCTCCCTGTTTTTGGCTCCTTTCCGTCTGCGGGTTTCGGGGCGGGGTTTGGTGGGTGCCAAGACTCGAGCGGCTTCGGGGGCTGTCCCGTTCTTCTCGGAGGTTTTCGAGCCTGGTAATTCCTCCTGCCAAAGCTTCTGGGTCTTACCAGCAGCCCTTTCTATGCTGCCTTTTCCCTGGACTCTTCCTTTTCTTTAAGGGCAGAGGGCATGGAGGACGGCTCTGCCCTGGGGCCTCTGTTGCGGGTTCCCGGGGCTGTGGGGGATGCCCGCTTGCAGTTCTGGGGCTGTTTGCCCCTGTCTGGGTCTTCTGCTTCTAGGCGGGGTTTTTTGTCCCTCTAGTCTGCTTGCTTCCCACATTTGCTGGCATGTTTTCGGCTCTATTGCAATGATCACGGCTCCTTGGTGTGGTAGACATTTTCTTTTCTGTGGATAACTCCCAGCTTGGCC